TGACGTGGTGCTGACGTGGTACAGAAAACTTGTTCCCTCGGTCAGTATAAAATCTTATAATGTCTCGCTTGAGAATCAGAGATACCATTCATGTAAGCAATGCGGCATCTAAAGCATTTGGTAGTCATGATCAGATCTAAAGTTTGTGAAAAGATTGGATCGTTTTAGTTTTTTTGACGCAGACATGTTTGATGGAGCTATAGCAGTAGTTGTGATTGTGTTGTGGGTTTGCAGTTGTACTACCCGAACATCCAGTGTCTGCAGGACCTGCTGCAGGCTCTGGACACAGACAGCCGCCTGGACCTGCTGCCCACCATCTGGAAGGGTATGTGTACAAAATGATAAATAATCACCATTAATGTGGATATAATAACTAGGCAAAGGCACATATTAAAAGAGCTAAACCAGATGATGACATCCTTTCATGCAGCCTTTAAAACCAGGAAAAGACAACCCTGACCATATTTCAGTATTGATATGATAATGATATTTTCTCCCTGGTTCCAGATATCCATGCTCTGGGTTATGACAATAAGGTTGAGCTGGTGGAGGAGCTGCTCATGCTGATGGCCCGAGACAAGCACAGTGCTGAGGTCAGCGCCACACAGCTGAGAGGACAAACTGGAACATATTAAAGCATAGAAGGGGCTTTATGTCAATAACGTGTGTGTGTGTGTGTGTGTGCAGGTCCAGGAGGCGTTCGCAGCGTGTGCTCTGGACATAAAGAATGTGACGGAGGCAGACAGGAGGAAGACGCCTATGGAGTGGAGCACCACCTCCCTCTCCAACATCACCTCCCTGCTGCTGCGCGCCAACAAGACCCAAGAGGCCTGGTGAGGGGGGGGGGGGGGCTGTGTATCTGTCTGTCAATCACAGGAGAGCTTTCACTGCCTAAAGGATTGTAAATGGACTTCTCTTTTCTCTCTGTGTCTGCAGGGCGACGCTGAAGCTCTTCAAATCCAAGAACAGAGTTCCAAAGTGAGTCACTTCAACAAACATCAACACAGACGTCTGATTTAGAACGGGGAACATCTCTTTAAACTGAAAATATTCAACATTGACTTTAATTAAAGTCAGGTTAGTTGAAAGCAATAGTACTTAATATTATTGCTTTCAAATAACCTATTACAATTATTAGTCATTTGTTTACATAATACATTCATTGAAGTCAACGTTTCAAATGTCTTTCAGTGTACATCGTGTATGTGACCAGAGCGCCAATGTATGGCATCAATTTACATACAACAACAAATATATACCGGTCATTTACATTTTCGAAAAATCCCATCATGGAAAATGTTTGTGAATAACCTCTAAATGGTTATTACACATAGAAAACACATATTTGTCATAAGGCTGTGATAAAGGTTAGATTTAGTAAATAGCACAAGTGCTTTACATTAGTATTAAAATACAAAAATGTACAAGAATGTATAAAAGAGAGAACTTGAACAAATTGAAATAGAGAAGATTTTGCAATAAAAGGCTTTGTAACGGTAGCTCCATTTTAGAATGAAATAAAATAAATGAAAAAAATTGAATAATTTATATATATATTCATATAAAATAGGAAGTTCAAGTAAGAATGTGCAATAAAATAAAGTTATTACTATTATCAAAAGCAGTTAAAGTCAAGTGTCCCATTTAAAAAGAAGAAATAAAAATAGAATAACAATATGTATATAAACATAACAAGCAGACAGACATATATATTATAATAATATTGTGAATAACTGATCATGATCTAAAAGTGTTGTGGAAGCATCAATGGTCAACCGTACAATATGGACACAGCATCCATGGATAGTGATGTTGTGATTCTCTCCACATCGTCCTGCCCTGGTTCATGCACTGACTTCCTGCCGTGTTCCCCTGCAGAGAGCCGCTGCTGGAGGACTTCCTGTCGGTGTGCTGCAGCGATGGTTCCTCTCAGAGAGCCGTGGAGCTGGTCCAGCTGTCTGCAGCCTTCTGTCTGTCTGATACAGCCAAACTGGCCAAGAGAACCCTGGCTGAGTTAGATCTGACCGAGGAGCAGAGGTGAGGAGGAGGAGGAGGAGGGAGTTAAAGCAGGAGAGCAGGAGAGCAGGAAACATTGGATAAGACACGAGTAATTTTAAGAAGAACTGTAATTCAGCTCCCTGAAACATTTGTCCTGACAGGAAACTTAAAGAAAAATAAGTTTTCAAATGTTGTTCCCTATACCGATAACTGTAATTCTACAGACAACAGGGGCCATTTTAACAATGATAGATTATTTATTTTAATTTATTTAAAACATTTCGAGACAGTACACAGACAAAAATCAGATGTTTTTATGATTCGGATAGCTTTTTCTGACACTGTCTTTTTTTCTTTTTTTTTCGTCCCATCCAGAGCCGTTTTATCTGAGCTGGAGTCGACAGGAGAGTCCTCAGGCTGAAGGAGACCTCTGAGCCCATCCATTGATACAAACATCTCACAATTTCATAGTGTGTTTCATTATCTGTGTGTTAATAAACTAATGTTTGTCACAACATAATCCAAACCTCCTGTAATGCTTTGTTTGACAGCTAGAGGTCGCTGTTTCTCCAGTCAACAACTCAATGCTTGTTAGAAATTACAGTTTCTTTCCCACTTTTTATGCATTAATGATTATTTTTAGCTCGGCAAAACATGGGTGAGAAATTCCCAGTAAGATGACAGATAAAGGATTTGTATTTTCTGCAGAATCCATGGCCATAAAAAATGTGGCCTGGGGGGAGATACACAGAGGCTCATTTCTCTAAGCAACTTCCTGTTGTCCCTGATAAGACACTTCCTCAAATGGCTGCATCTGGAATTTTTTTTGGGACATCTCAGCATCCCATTTTTATTGAAACAGTCCTCCAGGTTCTGAAAACACACATAAACAAACAATGTTGTGTGTGTGCAGAGTCAGGTATGCACTGTGTGTTTTTGCAGGATTTTATTAGCAGCATGTCTAGACAGGACAGGTGCCAGAAGTGTGTGTGTGTGACGCAACTTTATAACTCCTGACTTTTATTGTTTTTTAAAGTTTTTTTTTTTTTACCACTCCGGTCTTTTAAATCACAACCAAGCTTGCTTTAGAAAGGAATATCGAACACAATTATTGAGAATTAAATACACAGTCAAATATAGTTATTGTGTTAATTCAATGGCATTATTAGAAGCAGTCACACTCAGTATAAAAGCATACAGAGATAAGATTAGTATCAAGCAGTCTGTGGGGGTGTGTGTTTGCCAGCCTCTACAGGTGTGTGCTTTAATCAAAATGTGTGTTTTTTCTGTCCAATCACCAGCCGAGCTGCTTTATGACCTTATAAGGACAAATGGGCTAAGGTGAGTGACGGGAGCCGGGTAGATGGGTGTGTTTTGGGGAATTGTTTTCCAGATGGCCTGAAGCCTCACACACACACACACTCACGTACTCCCTGATACACTGCAGTATTGCCTTTCAAACTTAGCACAGAATCTGACACAAGAACCGAGTTTTCTCTTTGCCTTGCCCAGACCGTGGGAACACACACAAACCTTCCCTCGCACATTTAGAAACTAACATGCTCACACACGCTCCAATTATTAAACTGCCTAAATGTATTTTTTTCTCCACCTCTGGATAAGGAAGAAGTATTCTAAAATGTTCTATTAATCATGATTTTTTGTATTTATCATTATAATCTTTTTGTATTTTTTGACAATACTTGCAGGTCACTCATATGTGTTGTAGTATCACAGGTGTAGTTACAGGGACCCTATTATGGTTTTGGGGGTTTTCCTTTTCCTGTAGTGTGATATAGGTTTGTGTGCATGTAAATGGTCTGCAAAGGCTACAATACCTGTGTTCCCTCCAGAGGGAGTTTCTCTCCGGCACACTCAGGGGGCGGGACATCTCTAAGTGGTGGACCAATTAACAGAGCCGGCCAACTAACCAATCAGAGCAAACTGGACTCTGGTTTCAGACGGAGGGTGAAAAGAGGTGCTGCAGCACAGGGAGTATGAGAAAAATAAAGAGCTTTTGAACATTAAAGCATATAAACATGTCACAGTAGAGGCACAACATACAAATATGAATAATGGTTTATTGTATACAAAAAAACGTATTTAAAGAACTTCAATACACTACAGGTGAATAAGGGAACAAATATATATATGAGTATACAATTTCCTAGTATGTGTTATTTTGTTCTCTGACATTGTATGTGTCATAATGCAAATGGTCATCATTTTATGCCTTCTTTTGGTGAATTTAAGAGAAATGTATACAGACACAAATAGACCAACACAAGTCATTGAACTAGACTGAAGATGAAAAGAAACTGCCTGTAGCGTCTCACCTTATTAAAAAGAAAGGACAGCCAACAACAACAACAACAACAACAACAGGGAGTTTGATTAACTGAATGAAATGCAAACACATCCCAAAATAGTTTGTGTGAAAACAAGTGTGGAAGTAGCCGGTCACAAGCATTCCTTTCTCCACTCCTTTATGCAGCATGAATGTACTATGGAGGAGGTCACAGGTCAAACCTTTTCGAAAACACAGGAAGGGTTGACGAGACATCCTCTAATGCTTTTAATACCTCTACCACCGCTTTCTAACATTTCTTACCTGATGTGACCCTAAAACACACTCTACTTTACTATGCTTTACTTTGGAGGAAAGAGGAAAGAGGGAGGATGAGGGAAGATGATAGAATAGTGTTAGGAGGAAGGAGCAGAAAGAGATGGTGATGGAGGAAATAGGGACTTTATTATTTAAACTCTTTAAAGGTTATTGTATATCTTTTGAGAAAAAGAAGATTGACATTTGAGTCAAACGTCATATATTCCAGCACATTCTGCCCGTACGACAATACTTCATGGTGATTGTTACGTGCCGTAGTGTGTGTGTGGGTGTGTGTGTGTCTTTCTCTCTCTCCCTCTGTTTCTCCAGGTGCAGCCTGATTGTCTCCAGGTGCAGCCTCTCCCCCAGGTGCTCCCAATCCCCAATCAGGGCCTTCCTTAAAGGACCTGAGGAAGTCTGCAGTGGGCTCTCTTTCTCCTCTGGCTGCAGCACGGCGTCTTGGGTCTCTGTGTGGGACCTGTTTGTCTATTATTGTTGGATTAAATCTCATGTTGTGAAAAAAGAGATCAGTTTCCTCTCTTTTTTCTCGTGCTGGTCGTTCTGTGTTTTGTTACTCCCCTTCGTACCCCTAGATTTTGGAGGGAACGTAACAAATGGGGGCTCGTCCGATCTTTGAGACAAAGAGTGAGTATCTGTTTGTGGTTTAGCGTTAATATTGTGTTTGGTAGCATTGGCTGTGAAGTCTCTTACTGTTTAAAAGCTTCCTCAGTTTAGATAGGGGAGTGTCTAGCTGGGCTGAATCAGTCTTTCCTTCAGGCACTCATTTTTAATTTTGCCTTTTTTATTTTCGGGGTAATCCTGGGTGGGGATTTATTCCCTGTTGGGGGCAGGCGTTTCAGGGTTTCGGCCGCTGATGTTTGCCTTTAAAGTCGCCTCGAGCCCGGCACGCTCCAGAAGATAGTTAGGTAAGTTTGGTAGGCAGGATCTGGGGAAGTTTGTTTAAAAAAAAAAAAAAAAATTTAAATTGTAAGTAGCCGTTGATAAGGATGGCTTTTGTTTTGGAGCAGTTTGTGGCCAGTCCTACTGTGGGTCAGCTAGACTGGTGTAGGAAGGTTGATTTGCGGTTAGTTGCTGACCATTTTCACGTTTCTGTCTCCTCTGCTCTTGTTAAAAGTGAACTCAAGGCTACTGTGCTAACTGGACTAGTTGAACAGGGGGTTTTGAGTCTGCCTACTTTAGTGGAATCTCCTGGAACGGTGGCCGGGGCTGTAGCAGCAGTATCTCATGGTGGAGGCCGCATTGGTGTTACTCCAGGTGTTCAGAGTGCTACGGAACAGGCAAAACTTTTCAACATGCCTCAGTTTGACTCGTTTTCGGCAGGGTCCTCACCTACGGGGTCTAAATTAGATGCCAGGGTAAAAGTGCGTATGGCTCGTCTCCAGTGGGAGAAGGAGCGTGATAGGGATTTTCAGCTCAGGAGGGAGCTGGAGATCAGGAAGTTGGAGGCAGACACTGCTGTCCGGATGCGTCAGTTAGAGCTTCAGGCAGCTGGGGGGGGGTGATTCTGCCGTTACATCTTCTGGTCCTGCTGCCTCCTTCGACGTGAGTAGGCATATTTCTTTGGTCCCTGTGTTTCGTGAATCAGAGGTGGAGATCTATTTTGGTGCATTTGAGCGCATTGCTGCTGCTCTGCGCTGGCCAGAAGACGTGTGGGCTATTCTTTTACAGTGCAAGCTAGTCGGCAAGGCTCAAGAGGCTTGCTCTTCTCTTTATGTCGAGGATAGTTTAGTGTATGAGAATGTTAAAGGTGTAATTCTCAGGGCATATGAGCTTGTGCCTGAGGCCTACAGGCAGCGTTTTCGCGGCCTGAAGAAAACTTCTGGCCAAACTTACGTGGACTTCGCGAGGGAGAAGAAAGTCCTCTTTGACAGGTGGTGTAGAGCTTGTAAAGCTGATGACATTACTTCAGTGTATGAGCTGATGATGTTAGAGAAGTTTAAAAACTGTGTACCTGAGCGTACGGTAGTCTACCTGAACGAGCAGAAAGTAACTACCCTTCAGCAGGCTGCCACTCTGGCAGACGAGTTTGCACTGATACACAAGAGCGGTTTTTTTCAGCGAGACACTTATCGTAGAGCTCCTGACAATTACGTTCCCTGTGCCAGTGTTCCAGTGTTGAATCCCAGGCTAAACAGAGCTTGTTTTTTTTGTCATGACCCAGGTCATGTGATAGCAGACTGTGCTGCTTTGAAGCGAGAGCGGGCAGCAGGTGGCAAGCAACCAAAAGGGGTGGGCTTGATTAAAACAGTGTGTCCTAGTGGTCAGACCACTGTTAAAACGGGGCCTGATGAGTGTTTTAAGCCGTTCATCTCCACTGCGTTTGTCTCTCTATCAGGGAAGGTGGAGGACCAGCGGCAGGTTACGGTGTTACGAGACAGTGGTGGTTCACAGTCGTTCATTCTTGCCAGTGCTCTGCCCTTGAGTACTGAGTCCGCCTGTGATGCAAGTGCCGTGGTAAGAGGTATCGAAATGGGTTTTGTGCCCGCACCTCTCCACAATGTCCATATCCAGTCCAAACTGGCTACTGGTTTCTTCACAGTTGCCGTACTCCCCAGGTTTCCAATCGACGGTGTGGATTTCATAATGGGAAACGATATAGCCAGAGGTAAAGTGTATCCTACTCCAGAGGTTGTTGACATTCCAGTTCCTGGTGCTGTAGATGATAACCTATCGCTGACTCATCCGGAGGTATTTGCAGTTAGTGTTTTGACCAGAGCTCAGGCCCGTAAGCAGGCTCAGGATGTGGATTTGTCTGATTCTTGGCTTGTTTCTGCCCTATCTAATGACAGGTTGACCTCTGTTGATGGATTAGTGGAGGGTCCTCCAACAGTGTGTGATGGTGAAGTGGAACCTATTGCTCCAGAGGTGGCTATGCCTTTGACCCGTGAGGCGCT